AAAAAAAAACTAATTCGAAAAAAAAAGATGAATAAAGTGTCATCTTTATGGTGTATGTAATTGCGGGTGTCGAAAGAATTCATTATGGCATACTAAAAGGAGTAGTTGGAAGAAGTTCTTTAATAGATGATGGAGTTTGTGTAGATGTCATTGATCTTACTTTGAGATATAATCTTTTGCAATCATAGCTCCACTAGTGATAGGCTTTCAACCAATTCCAAATATATATCCTACCTTTTGACCCTAGCCCCGTTACAACCAATAAAAGACCTCATGATTTTGTTGCATGCATTAGTTTTCGAAGTGGTGGAGAATTGAGATGAAATGCAAGCTTATGGATTGAATACATCCATTCGGAAGAATTTTGAGCGATACAATCCCATCCTTAAATACATGAGAGATTGAGAGTCCACTTATCCTAAAGTGAGGTCTACCAATTTAACTACCTGAAGGTCTCAATTTTAGTACTTTGGGATTGAAGCTAGTTACATGAATTTCTTTTTCCTACTTTGACTTGAGAATTGGATAGGATGGCTATCCTTGACTTGTGACGCTTGTGATCGTAAATAAATTTTGAAATGTGATTTTGTTGAGAGTTTTGGAAATTAATTTGTTAAGTCCCGATGAAAAGTATTTGTTTTGTGATATGTTTGATATTGGTTAAAGGATTGATGAGGGGGTGATCCCTACTCTATTTGGCTTCCACTCCTCCTATTTTCTTTATTGTCTATTTGCTTGAGGACAAGCAAAAGTCTAAGCTTGGGGGAGTTGATAAACACGTAAAATATGCATTATCTTAGTGTGTTTTAAGCATGATTTACGAGTGTTTAATGCATATTTCGTGTTTAGATCGAGGATACTGCTGTGGTTTGTGTTCTTATATGTAGGTATTGGCTCAAGATTGAAAGATTTGATGATCGTTGGAAGTTTTACAAGAGTTTGAAGCAACAACAAGATTTTGAAGGCATGGTTCGTGAAGAAAATGGATGCACGAGTATGAAGAACTGGAATTTCGACCATGATGCAGTTTGAATCAAGAAAAACTCAAAAGATGAAAGTTGTAGATCTCTTCAACAGGATTCCAATGCAACTTGAATCACCTCATTCCGAGGTCTGACGCAAAAGTTATAGCCAAAATACCGAAAACTGAAGAAACAAGCACAAAATCAGCAAAACAGCCCCTACCACACCCTGGTGTGGTGCAGACCACACCGGTGGCGCGGGAATTAGTTATTTTCCAGATTTTTAGGGACATATAAATAGATGTTTTGACTTAGGGTTTTGGATATCTTTTGTTATGTTCTTTTAGCCATCAACTAGCAACTATTCTAGGGTTCAAGTATTGAAGGAAGACATTAATCTCTTGTAGAAGATTGGATTGCAAGTTCTTATTTTGAAGATTTCAATTGAAAGACGGGTTAATTCTTTCCTCTCTTTGATTTATTTCTTCTTATGATTGATTTGCATAATTATTTGATGTCTTCTCTTATTCCAATCATGTGTGAGTAGATTTCTTGTCTAGGATTGGGAAAGAACCCAACTTTTTGGTGATTGATGATGAATTGATATAGGTTCTTGGTGAAAGTTTAAATCTTTGAACTTGATTTCTAGTGTTTTAATTTTGTTGATTCGCTTGATCACCGTATTAGCAATCATAGGTAATTAATTGAAGGACTGAAAGATGAAGATTAATACCGGATCTCTAGAAATTAAGCAGGGAGCTCGAACCACGAAAGTAGGCTAGATTCCTTGGGGATTTGATTTGGGTTAGCATAAAGCTTAATGGGTTTAACTTAATCTTAATTCCACGAAAGTAGGTTAATTGAGATTAATTAGGCACGATCTTTAGACCTTGAGAGAGGCTTTAGATTAATTTAGGCTAATTCACCCTTTCTAGATTAAATCAACACCAAGAATTGAAATAATTCATCATTGAACACCTAAGTTGTGGTGATAACCCAATCCTAGTCCTTCATTATATTGAATTCCATCCGATTAGTTGTTTATTTTATTTCTTTTATTAAATCTCTTCTAATTTACTCATTAGTTTAGCTAGTCTAATAACGTAAAATTTGGTAATTAACCCTAGTCCCTGTGGGATCGACCTTGATAGCTACAACGAGTCTGTGCGCTTGCAGATTTTCCCTATCAGGCAGTTTCGATTTTTTTGTAAAATACCATCTGCTTTTAGTATAAAGCTGACGTGGAGGGGGCTTAAAACATTAAAGCCCATTTTTTGGGGCTATTCCACATGGGGCAAAGTACAGGGGGGCTAGTCACACGAAGTTCCCACTTTTGGGGCCTGGACACATTTTTCCCAATTTTTTAACGTTCAGGAAGTTTTATACAAAACACTCAAAAGTCCAAGGGGTTTTGTGAAAGTTATCCATCTTTTAAATGCTCGCCATTTATCCGTCGCTCTTATATTATTTTCTCCCAATTTTCCCTCTCTCCCTCTCTCTTTGCAAGAAAAAGCCATGGCGTTGAAATCGTTCGTCGAGGTTTCAGCCGACTCCCATTTCCCATTGGAGAACCTCCCCTTTGGAGTTTTCCGACCGAAGCCTGCGGCCTCCACGGCCGCCGCCGATCCTCTGCCGCCTCGGCCCGGCGTTGCGATCGGAGATTTCGTCCTCGATCTCTCGGCCGTCGCTTCTGCTGGTCTCTTCGACGGTCCAATCCTCAAGAACTCTCAATGCTTCTTCCAGGTTTAATTTTGACCTTTTCTCCCTCTTAACTTTGTAGAAAAAAAAAATTCATTTCTTTTTTCTCTTTTTTCTAAGAAGAGTTCGAAAGTTCAGTTCTCAAAACTATAGTGTTGTTGTACTTTCCGATCAGGATATTAGCAAAATCGATTTATGAAAAAATCACAGCATAGTAACCCTGGAGCTCACTTTGTTGCCAAAAGTTGATGGGTTTTTTCTTCTTCTGATATTGGTTCACAATAGTTTTCTTTTTCTTTTTTAAACTGTGGATTTTTGTTAAAAGCACTCACTTATGCCTCTTAAACCAAAAATAATCAATGGCAGCTATTTGTATGAATACAATATTACATGTATCCTTGAAACCTTTAATCCTAAATTAAGCCAACTCCACCTCTGCCACCACCGCTGCTGTTGGCAGCATGCGGAGCCCCGTTTTCTGCGGTTGAATATAATAGAAATCACGCTGAAGACCTAAAGATGACCAGTTCCAGATGCGAACCCATCCGCTGTTGGTATCACCCAACGCTCTGATACCACTGTTGGTATTAGAGCTGAATTTTAATTAGATCAGACTTGTCTTTGAGAAAGGTACGATGTTTGCGGCATGGAGATGGAAAGTTCTTCGGTGATGAAGTTGAGATTGAAAAATTCGATGGTAAGAAGGTTTTTGGACTTTTGCAGAAAAGGATGGAGGTGGTCTTGCTACAATATGACCTATACTATGCTTTGCTAGGGGTGGACAATGAGCTGGATCGAGAACATGGTAAGTGACGTGTGGAACAAGACGGATTGGATGGCGCATAGTACAATCTTACTTGCTCTATCTTATGAAGTGGGGCACCACGTAATTGAGGAGAAGACTGCGGTTAGTATGCGGAAGAAACTCGAAGAGTTGTACATGACCAAGAACGCATCCATCAACTTGTACTAGAAGCAGCAGTTGTATGGACTGTGGATGAAGGTACGATAATGTTGAAGCATTTGAGCACCTTCAATAGGATCATGACCGAGTTAGCAGTGATGGGGTCAAAATTTGAGGAGAAAGTGATAATCTTGTTAAGTTCTCTTCTAGTGAGTTACCAATATTTGAAGACATCACTAACTATAAGCAAGACGACAATCAACTTGGACGAGGGTAAAGCGATGTTCCTCATGTATGATTTTTAGCAGCGATAGAGTGTTAGTGATGATGTAGATTCTGATGTCAGGTTGATAGCAGACGTGTAAGGGAATAGATCTTCAAATGGGACAAGTTTGCGGACTAAGCGGTGCTTCTTTTGCCAAGAGAAGAGTCACTTGAAGAAACACTGTTTCAAATGGTAAGAATGGTTGAAGGGGCAAAAGATGGGGGATCGGGTAGCCCAAACTTCGTATGCAGTGGATATTATGGCAAATCAACTAGATGACGCATTAACTGTTTTGGAGGAAGAAAGTCAGCGGGTTGATGTGTTAATAGTTTCAGGAACAACACTTCTGATATTGGAGTCTAGAATATTTGTTCATATATGTTCCTAATTAAGATTGTTTCACTTCATGGTGCAAGGAGTCAAGGAGACTATCTACACAATGGATGGCATGAGATGTGACATCCCGGGTGTAGGAGCACTCACGGTGACGGGAAGAAGGGAAGCATGGTCGCCTTAGAGAATGCTTGGTTAATCTTGAAGGGCGAGGAAGATTCTGATATCTATTGGGGTACTTGGCTCTATGGGCTACCGAACCCAATTGTACGGAGGAGTCATCATAGTATACCACCATAGAAATCCCGTCCTAGTTAAGAAGAAGTGTGGAAATAGTTTGTATCGGGTGTTTGATTGAACTGGTGTTCAATGTGGAGCTTTGTATCGGGTGTTTGATTGAACTAGTGTTCAATGTGAAGCTTCGTCTTTGAAAGGGTGTATGACCATATGGAGGAGAAGTTAGTAACAAACCTAGATTCTGAGGGAGAGCCAAAATGAGAGTTTGACTCTAGGTGAAGGAGTCAAGAAAAAGTCTGCAACAAGTCGATAGTTGGGCTTAGAGTGTGCAGCGATGAAGGTTGACGTCAAGCTATCGGAAGGCTTGACATCAATGCGCGATGACGATCACTTCAGTGCCCTTTGGGAGAGGGGGATTAAGGTGATTTCTCGAAGGTTTTTGTTCTCTACAGTTGTACAAGTTTGTAGTAAAATGTTATAAGGAAGGATCGACGTTTCCGAAGGTGACCTCATATAAGCCTAAATTGGAGATTGTTAGGAATAGTCTTGTTTTTAGCCCATAAGACAATAACAAAAGAAGATAGATGAAGAGGTGTCCGAACAACGATAAAGCGACAAAAGAGGCACGTACAGGCAGAGACTGCCGATGGCCACCGCCTATGCCCGGGGTCCAGAGCGGAGACCGCTGATGGTCCATAGGCAAAACTAGGTCACAACCCAGTTCGGGTCTGTTTTGAATTGGTATTTTTTGGGAATTCTTTTGTATTTAGGCTTTACTATATAATTATGATTGTTCCAAAGGTCTAGGATGAAAAGGTAAGCCAAGGAAAGCTGCATATTGTGTGAGAGAATTAGAGAGAATCTATGAGGAGATATCTAGAGTTTGTGGGAGATCTTTTGGTGATATTGAGAGGGTTTTTTGCGGGTTCTTCATCAAGAATGTAAGAATAGATTATCTTATAATCTCTAGAGTAAAAGAAGACTCAATTCTTTCCTCGTGGACATAGACGCGTCACGCTTGCCAAACCACATAAATCCCATGTCTTTGTCTCTTGATCTATTTTCTATGTTATATTGCTATTTTCTTTCATTTGAACATATTTTCTAGATGCTTCTTCATTGCTTGATGGCAGACTGGTCTATAAAGAAGGAGATCTAATTAGGTGTTTCGATGACACTTCTGTAGACTACGCTTTCACATTGAACATCGGTTGGTACGCAACGATCGGTTCGGATTGCAAGTGGCGTGCATCAACATGCGCGACTCTGCTAATGGGAATCATCAATTGGAAATCCTTCAAAGATCATGACGTAGCACGATGTATCAAATTCTAGAAAAAATGATTAAACAAACTAATATGCAGAGCCAATGCAAACTCACACTAAAATTATAGCGGAAAATAACTTTAAATATCAAACTATGATAAACTAACAACTAATAGTAATAAATGATGCAAAAACTACAGCAAATAAGGAATACGTTCGCGATAAACCTGAGGCGTGAAACGTTGAGCACAGTCCACAAATTCTAATTGAGTACTCAACGTTTAAGTTGAATTCATATTAGCTAGATCCTGCAAAAGAGTATCAAAATAAAAGGGTCAGTTCAATATAATAATAATAATGTAACAGTTTTAATTAGTCGTAATATAAGCAATCTGATTAAATGGGAATAAGGGTTTGGATCTGAGTTTTGTAGTTCTTTGTCATTGTAAAATTCTGTAGGGATCAGATTTGTGAAGGAGAGGTTGTAACGTCGAGAACACTTGATATTGTTCACAAATACTGTTCACCTGATAGTTCCGACGCTTCTCCGTCCCGCATCATTGAGGCTTTGTAGGTTCAGATCTGAAAGAATAAGCTTAAAAGACATAATTGGAATCACTCTAGAAATCTTTTTGATCAATAATTCTCATTCAAAATTTACTGACGATTACATAAAAGTTCCTCCTTTTTATGGAGATTCAAATAAACAAAAGATAACTTAAATCTTATCTAAAAACATGTAAATGCTTATTTCTAAACAAATCAAATAAAAACAATCTCAATTCTATTAATAACTTTATTCTTATCCTAATAATAACCAAGTAAAATCTGAATTATCTCAAACCGAATAAAATTTGATGATATCTTAATGATATCTATGATGCAAGTCCCTCTAGAATAGAATCGGGTGTATTGATCCCTATTTGGTGAGATATAACGATTTGATGGTGTTACGTGAGGTGACGGAGGGAGGTGGTTTTGGGCCCATCAGTGGGTGGCGGGAACAGAGTGATCGAATGAAGAAGAAGAGGGTATTTTGGGAATGTAATGACTTTTAAATGTACATACATTGGCATACATACACAATTTGGGTTTAAAATAATTGTTTAAAGTATTTTGGGTTTTAAGAGGGAATATGAAAGTGGGTAGGTTTAAAAATAAATCACAGTGAACACTTGGGTTTTAAAACAAATACAAAAACCATTTTAGAATAACTTCCCGAAACATATATTTTAAACAACTCCCCAATGCCTTAAATTACAGGTTATAAGCTGCTAGCTTACCTCCAAATTTCATGTATTTTACCCATTATACTCTCATCTCTATTAGATGTGCTAATAAATTTTATAGTGTGGAGATAACTTAAGTAGTCTGGTGAGCTTACCTAAAATATGTGCTTTGGGAACTTATTTTAAAGTATGTTAGATTTGAGGGACCAATACCAAAAACTAACCAAATTTGATTTATTGATTGCTAGTTTATCGCTTTGGGAGTTCAAGAGCTTTTACAAGTCAAAGGGAAGTGATGTGTAAACAAGACAGTTAAATACAAGCAATGTGTTAACAATTCCTAACAAAAATTGTCTTTTTTTAAAGAGAATTGACACGCCCCAAAATCAAAATAATGCTCAATATTAACAATCTCTGCTTGTTGTTTTAGTATGTTCCAAGTACATCCGACAGAATTGTTCATTAACTGAGTGATATGCGATATGCATATTGTACATTCAGACTTCTCTTAACATGTTCGTGGAGATGGGACGTCCGGCGTGGAGGGAGGCACGAACCACCATCCAGAAGCTTCTATCAGGTTTGTCGTGTTTTACCATCATTACTCATCCTAGGGAGTTATATTATTTTAATTTAGTGGTTAACTGAAATGCAGTAGTGATTTGCTTATAGTACATGTCATATACTAACATGTTGAAAATTGCAGTTTTCTTCGTGTCTGTTACACTTTGGTTTGCTATAGTACTGCTACCTTACATGCCATTGCTTGCTTATATTATGATACTGAAACCTGTCACATGCATAAAGATACCCAGCCTATTGATTTACTTGATTGATTGCAACATACTATGAGGTGATAGCTAAGCTCTATTTGTGTTGTACGACTAACCTTATTTATCATGTTTGTATATCTAAAAGTATGCTATTTGATTAATTCTGTATTTTGTATCTCAAATGTCTATGCAAAAGCTTTGCTGTTAGTTAAGGCTAATTTTAATAAAACAGATGAACCTTATTGCAGCTGATGAGCCAACTTTACGCGACAATGATAGTTTAAGGGACGAAGCCCTTCTTCCAATGGTAAGTGATTTCTCCAGCCAAGGTCAGTTACTATACCTGAAATTTACTCAATATTAATAATATGATTATTGACCCAACAGATTGAAGTACAAATGCTGCTACCTACTGTAATTGGGGATTACACTGATTTCTTTTCTTGCTTGCACCACCACAAGAACTGTCTGACTATTTTTGGGGAAATGGAAAATGGAATTCCACCGAACTGGGAGAACTGGTAATTTCTCGTCATAAAAATGACTTGGGTCTGTGTAATGCCTCAGGAAAAAAAAATCCAATCTCCTTTTCATGTCTCCAGTAATAGTCATGGCATTAGTTTAAGTGTTATGTACTGCTAGATGTTATCTGTAGAGCTTAAGCTTATTACTGACCAGTTTTCTTGTGTATTTTAGTAAAATTATTTCTGCCGGTATCAGGACTATTACCTCTTAAACGCTAAATTTAGAGCCCTAGAAATATTTTGCCTTTCTCCATTAGAAGGATAGTGCTAAATATGTCATAGTTTATCATGAGAAAGTAGATTTACATGCTAATAGAGTATATTTTAGAGGTACATGCTGATTTCAAGATATAAATTCCAACTTATATTTATTGTGTTGTGCGCAGCGGAAATTTCGGCAGAGTTTCTGGTGCACAATAATAGAGAAAGATCGATAAGAATTCCCGTCTCACCAAGGAAACAAGAATCTGAAGCGGATATCTCAACCAAGTGAGATATCGTCTCTTCCACTGAAGCGGATATCTCAACCAAGTGAGATATCGGCTCTTCCTCTCATCAGTTCTAGGACTGACCTGTCGAGGGATCCTAAAACCATTACAATGGCCACAAACTCAAACAATCAATTTTTACGTGGTTCGGCAAACTGCCTACGTCCACGGGGCAAGAAGGGGGAGACTACTATTAGAGGAGATAATACAACTAGAGTTTATAATCACTCAATCTAAACCCTCACACAATTATCTCTCTCAAAATCAGCACAAGAAACTGCACAAAACTCTCTCAAAAGGCCGCTTGAGAACCTTCTGTGTTTCACCTTACGCAGCCGCCAAAATCTCACACAGCCGCTCAAAAAAACCTCTGTGTTCTCTCTCTGCCTGCGCCCTTCCTTTTTGTACCTCTGCCTGTGCCGCACAAATTTTCTCCAGCACCCCCCCTCAATCTTGCACTCGGAAACCCTAGGAACACTAGGGTATTTATATTGTACAATGGTCTTTCGGGTGGGCCTGCGATTTATCCGATGGACTAACCACTTCTTTTGTTCACAGCTATTATCACTTCACGCGTTTACACAAACTTCTTCACGTGTCCTTCTTCTCTTGTGGCCCCCACTAACAATTCTCCACCTCGGTGAAGTTTTCCCAAAACTGAGCCGACACCGACCAAACCAAATGTCTCACTTGTTGTGTCCAGTACACCGTGAAACAATTCACGACAACAGACGCAATCCATAACAAGTCGAGAACCCAAATGAGAATGCAAACACTCTCCAAATGTCAGTATCAACTCACCAAATCGATCTCACCCCATCAAAATCCAACCCGGCTGCATCTGAAAGACTGCCTACGTATCCTCTTGCCCAAGGAATCAAGCCGAAAGCCCTCAACCAATAGAAGAGTTCGCAACCCTTCTCCAATATCATCTACTCTGCGGCTGATAGCACCTCCAATGGCCTCAAACACCTCCACCTGAGGTGAACCAATGGTCATATTCAAACTGCATCTATCAGCTGCACTCGAGTCAAAACCCAACTCATCATCTGCATCCGAATCCAAATGATTTCCACGCTGTGTCACCTCAGCTGGAATCCCAACCAATGCAGAATGACCTGGAGTATGTGGGAAAATCCCCACCCAATATAGAGTAGCATCAATCTCCACCCGCTGCGATGCAATACCTCTAAGGTCTGTCTAAAACTCTCCACCTGCTGAGAGTCAATTGGCTTACTCATCGAAGCCTCAACTAAAGTGACACTACCAGACCTATCTTCCAATGGAGTTTTACCTCCAATCACAGCAGTTGACAACTCTTTAATAGGATGACCCAAATATGTCGAAGCCTCTGTCCAGAAACTCTTCTGCAAACCATTACTAGACCACAAACACTGATCCTCCTCCAGCAAGGCACGGTTCTCCAAATTTATCACCCTATCTAGTTGCCCCAAGATTTCCTTTCCAACGAAGTGTCTCGAAATGCCGTGAGCTCGGCTCCAATACAGAAACAGGTCCATCTTGTACCTCCCATCAAAATTAGAATAAAGTACATTCACCTTTCTGTCCATCTTACACTTCTTCAAACTGTTAGAGACTACTAGGACTTTATCCATCGGGGATTTGGTTGCAACCCAAACACGCCTAGAACAGTCACCAACAAAGAAAATCAAACTTCTATTACCTCCCAATGATGTCCCCTTGGAAGGCCCCCAAACATCCACGTGAACTCCTCCAGAACGACCCTTAGCACGGTGAATAGAGGTGCCACACTTCACCTCGGTCTTCTTGCTCACATCAACATGTTCACTGGACTTCAAACTGCAGGTCTTTGCACCCTCTTTCAATCTATGCGAGGAATCAATACTGGAATGGCCAAGCCCCAAATGCCGCAGTCTAGTCGAATCAACAGAAGTCGTCAGTTCTCCACCTGCCACTATACCTCCAGTCAAGTAATACAGGTTATTCCTCCTGACGCCCTTCATCACAATACGAGAGTCTCTCGCAATCTCGAGAACCATGTCCTCAACACGAACCTTCAGACCCTCTCCAACCAAAGCTCCAATCGAGATCAAGTTCTTCCTCAAAGAAGGAACATATCTCACATCGTTTAACTCTCTAACAGTCCCGTCAAACATCTTTATGCGAATTCTTCCTATCCCAAGGATCTGGCATGCACGGTTATCAGCCATGTACACCACACCACTATCCACCAGCTTCTCAAAACTGGAGAACCATTCCCTTCTAGGGCACACATGATAGGTCGCACCACTATCCAACATCCATTCAGATTCCTCCGAATAGCTATCTGTAGGACTGATAGAAAGCGAATAAATAGAAGAGTCAGAATTATTACCATCCGATACGATGTTTGCTTCTGATGATGGTTGCTTCCCTTTTCCCTTCTGCTTATTCTTCATCCATTCGTCGAGCTTTGGGCAGTCTTTCTTCCAATGACCAGTCTCCTTGCACCAAGCACACTGATCTTTTCCTACTCTAGACTGTGACTTCTAATTCTTTCG